TGAATACCACAGAAAGAGAACTCCAGCCTGGCTTTAGGAGGAGCCGTATGACATCCGTAAAAGGTCCCAGAACTAGAAGTGTTGTAACATTTAATCCAACAACTATCAGCCCAGGTGAAGAGCTGTACATTAACATCCCCAAGCTAAAGCCTGACTCTTGTTTAGTTCCAGGATCACTTGCACTATTATTTGACTTCAAGAATTCCAATACAAAAAGCCACTTTAATAATAACCTGTCTAAGTTGATAGCTAAACGTCTTCAGATTAAAGTAGCAGGTGAAACAGCTTATGACTGTTCAGGAGAGAGTTTGTACGAAATATACAAAGATCTATGGCTAACACTAGGTGACAGAAAGAAGATGACTGAACAGGGTCTTGCAAGTGAGAATCTCAGGAAGTTAATATCAGGTGATGACTCAGGAGTAAAAGTAGGTGATGCCAATAAAGTAGCAGATGGACTTCTCCACAGTGTGTACGGCTCTAAGCTGAGAAAACCAATTGATAAAATAATTGCAGACCATGGACTCTACACACCGTTCTCCATGAATAACAATCCTATGTACATCCTCACACTCCCGCAATCAGATGAGATTATGACTGCTCAAGGAGGTGAAGCTAAGGGTAATTATAAACTTGATAATCTTGAGTTAGAATACGAGACCATTGAGAATGACACCCTTGCAAGTGAAGTATCAAGGATGTATTCAACAGGCCGCTCACTGTCCTACAAACATGTCACACTAATGCGCACAAGTAATTGGGACAAGGATCTTACCATTGTCAATGAAAACATAAATATCCCCAGAAAGAGCATGTCAGCAATTGTCCTCCTGTTCACGAACAGGGTGAGAACCAATTCTGAAGAATATATTTACCCAAACATTGATAAAGTGAACCTTACCATTGAGGGTGTGCCTAATGCTGTCTTTTCCCAAGGACTTCCTAAAAGTAGGTTCTTTGAAGAGGCAAAACGATTTTTCTGCCCTATGTGTGAGAAATCTATGGCAGATGAATTTATGTCCATCAGCAGGTTCTTCAGCAATGGTTTCGCCTTAGTAGTAGATCTAAGGTCAACTCAGGATGATACCACTGGAGGAGGAAGGAAGATTGTTAACACACAGTCTGGAGTACTTATGGAAATCAAGAAGCAAGCCACAACAGCAGATGTTCAGTGCAACATTTTTGTTGTATCAGATGCTCTCCTTAACTTTGCTAGTAGAGATCTATCAAGTATTTAATACTAGCTGCGCAAGTAGCTCCTACTGACGTAGTCGGTATTAGAGTCCACACATATGGTAAAGCATAGAGATGCAACTTGAACCACCATTCAACATGCTCATAGTAGGAATGACTGGAAGTGGTAAGACTCAGTTCTTACTTAATATGTTAGAAACAGAATACAATAAAGTTTTCGATTATATTGTTATTATATGTCCAACAATAGAATGGAATATGACTTACATTAATTGGGCTCATATTAGTGACCACGGAGTCATACAAATTCCATGTTCACAAGAAATGATCAATCTTATTCTAAAGGCAGTGTCCACCATATTCCGCGGAACCCGGACTCTCATTATAGTGGATGATTGTGCTGCAAGTCAAGATGTAAAGAAAAGAGTCTCAGAACTGGTGCGCCTAGCATTCTCCGCAAGACATTACAATATATCTGTCATTGTAATTACCCAGCAACTGTCATCAGTAGCAAAACCATTTAGGGAGAACATTTCCAGGTTAGTTACATTTTATAACCCTAGTCGCAGAGATATGAAGGTCATAACAGATGATTACCTAAGTGGTGTCCCTCAGGAGACAATTACGGAGATTACGAAGATACTAAAAGATGAGAAGTTCACCGCATTAGATATACTCCTCATTCACCCTTACACATACACCATCAAACTAAACACCGCGTAATATATAGAAGATGGGATCAGAATCTGACGAAGAAATATCCGGAGCTGTGAGAGAAGTAGAGGAGGCCGCAAAGGCGCCGCAAAGGAAAGCTAAGTCTACCGCAAGAAAAACCAAGCCCACCGCAGATAAGTCGCAGGCTGAACACAAAAGGAATAAGCTTATCGAGCTATCTAAGGATGGTGTAATTGATAAGACCGCAAGTTTCATAAGAAAGTCCAACAAAGATGTTATAGATAGACTTAGACAAAGATGTTATAGATAGACTACAGTGAGTACGAGAGTCAGAGGATGTCATGCGCAAGTGACTTCTTATCAACACTTATTATCTCAAAGTTTGCTTCCATACTAGGAAGTTTTAATGCGGTGGAATCTTCTGAGAAGCTGTCAGAGGAACTACTTAGTGATAAGCTTTTAAAGGATGACGTATGTTATTTAACTAGAACGATATCCCCAAACATTCCATTCATTGGTCTCATATCAGGTGGATGCACAACAGCTAAGCACGTGGTTGCTCACAAGTGGAAGAAGAAGGAAAAGACTGAGGAAATATCTGAGGAAGCAAAGCATATCCTATTACATAGTGAAGAAGAATGTCTCGACTCGGAGAGCCGCACGACTGGGGAAACGCCTGGGAAGGAACTGAATTTGAAGACATAATTAATGAACTGATTGAGAAAACCAACGCTAGCAATGAGAGGCTGGATAAGATTCAAAAAACTTTGAACTCAATAGAGAAAGACTTATACGCACTTAGGAATAAGATCATACTACCCCTCCAGAATGACTTCTACAACTTTAAAGATGATACAGTTAAAACAGTAGTAAAGATATACAAGAACCTTCATGGAGTTTAGTATTTTATTTGCTGTAGGATGTAAACAGTAAGCGGCTGAGTGGGAAGAGGGAATGCTGCTTCATAAATCAAAATAAAATAGCCATAAAATAGGCCCAAAATTTTTTACATATATAGTGTAGGGAAAGATGGAAAAACTATTCAGGAACCAGGAGTTGAATGTTAGCGTGAGAACTGTGAGGTGTGGTGACGAGGTGTTGTTCTACGCAAAAGATGTGGCAGAATCTCTAGGGTACTCAAACCCTCAAAAAGCTGTCAGGGACCACATTTGGAAGTTAAATAAGGTAGTTGTGAGGGACCTTCAAAGGGTACCCAAAACGTTCACCTTGGAAAAGTGTCACCCGCAAACAACACTACTATATGAACCAGGAATATACCAACTAGTATTCAATTCTAAACTTCCAATAGCGGAGGCCTTTCAAGATTGGGTATTTAAGGAAGTCCTTCCATCTGTCCGGAAAACGGGATCTTACAACTTACTAGATAGAAGGTCACTTAGGTTCAACCAAATAATCCTTATAAATGAAACGGACCTTCATAATGCCATTGTGAGTTACATCAGAGATAACTACCCAGAGGCTGTAATATTACCTGGTCTAGGTGAGTATCAGGACACTGTGTCAAAGAGATGTGATGCCTGGAAGAAGGGATATAAAGGTGGTCAACCAGATCTTATCATAGAGAATCCTATGGGAAAGTACAAAGGATTTGCTATTGAATTTAAGTCTCCTAAGGGCACCGGAGTTATAAGTGATAAGCAGGATATATGGTTCAGGAAACTAAGGGGAATAGGGTACATGACAATGGTATCAGATGATCTGGTAAAGACTTGCATTAGAATCAACGAGTACTTCTCACTTAAGAAAACCATAAGGAAAGTTGCAGTGAAAAAAGTAGTTTGTGACGTGAAGACGTACAGACCAAGGTTCAATTCAGGTAAGTTTTGAGACATCTCACAAACAAATTTAAGTTATCTCACAGGTAGGTTTGAGTTATCTCACCAGTTATCTCACCAGTAGATTTGAGTTATCTTACAAGTAAATTTGAGACATCTTACCAACAGATTCAAGTTATCTCACAAGTAGAATCTAAGATGTCTCATAAGACTAAACCCAGTTAAACCTGAGGTATCTTACAAGTATTATGGAAGATAAACCTGAGCAAATCCAAGCACAAGTAACAAGTGAGAAGAAGAAGGACCCAAAGAGAGTAGCGGCAGGAAAACGATTAGCTGCAATCAGTAAAATAGCAAAGGAGAGGAAAAAGAAACTTGCGGAACCTAAGGAGCCATCAAGTAATGACAGTATGATTACCTACATAGGAGTGGCCATTGCACTGGTATCTCTAGTGCTAGCATACAAGTCGCATCAGAGGGATCAGAGGGAAACCAGGGGACAGGAACCCAAACACGTAACTGAGACTGTTGAGATAACCAGGAAAGCTGATGAGTCCAGGTTAGATTCACTTGAATGATACATTAAACATAATATATATTATAACAAGATGAGTAAAGAATCAAAGATGACTATGGACGTGTACAACGCAGTGTTACTTACAGCAGGAGCAGTCGGTATTTCAATGGCATCGAAGAAACTATTAAAAGAACCATTAGGCACCCCAGAGAACGTAAAAGGAATGGCAAAGTTAGCTGTCTCAGTTAGTCTTTCATCTCTACTAGTATCTTACCTGAAAGATAAGAAGTACCTACCAGATGATCCATTCAAAACCTAGGTAAGACTATACAATGGCAGCAACAGTAGCGGGAGGACTATTTAACGCATTTGCATTTGCGGGAGCAGGGTTCTTATTTAAAATGTTTGATAAGAATGGACATGCTAAGGAAGCCCATAGACATAACATTGCAATGGAGAACCTAACAGCTGAAAGGGAGAAGTACCTTGAAGAAGTCACTGATAGGAGAAACAGACTTGCCCAATTAAGGTCAGAATTAGCTGAGGCAAATAGGGATATTAATGCAACAAATAAATCACTGGAACTCGTTAGAAGAATCAATGAGTTAACACGTAAGGCTATGCCGAGGAGGCCGCAGTTAAGTAATCACTACAAACCTAGCTCTGAGATGGAAGAATATATGGCAATCTTCGGTTTAATTATAGGTGGGGTGGTTGGAGGGGCAGCTTACTTAATTCTATAAAAAATACAGCAATTTTCTTTTACATATATAATATAGAGAAATGGATTGGCTTGCAATGGTAGACGTTGACGAAGTGGTGGCCTTGGGAAAAAGGGTGGACACCATAGAAGAACTAGAGGTCGCAGTCAAAAAATATGTGGAATGGCGAATAATAAGGAGACGTAAAAATAAACCACAAAAACAAGCAGAAAATTTTAACACATATAGTATAGGGGATGGACTGGCTGACACTGGTAACACCTGATGAAATGGAACGAGTCGGTAAGAACGCAAACACCATTGAGGAGCTAGAGGCTGTAGTAATGAAATACGTGAGAAATAAAATGAAGGTCAAACATACATACGAATCCAGTATGTAGTGAATGTGGTAGTAAGTCAATTGTGGTAATAGATGGAGCAGATACATGCACACGTTGCGGAACTAGTGCTATGAACAACTTCACATACTACGTTAGTTACAATCACAACAAGGACGACTACCTGAAAAAGAAATCGTCCCATAATAGAGTCCGTTGGTTTGAGAGACACTTATTCGAGCATGTTGCTTCTGGGGATAGGGATACCATACGGGAGCAGTTTAGAAGCATCGTAAGATGTATACAAAGACTTAGACTGCAACGGGGGCGCAACATAGTTAGATATAAGTTTTACCTACTTAAGGTTAGCCAGCATGAACAACATCATGTTGAGAAACCCACCTGAGGACATCAAGACTCAACGAATTGTGAACATCCTTGAGGACAGACTATATGGAAAGGTTTTTCCCGAGTTGGGATGGAAACCCATAAATTGTAAATATTATAATAACTGGAAATTCAGACATAAATAAAATATTAATTATTGGATTAAATAAAATATTAATTATAAAATTAAATAAAATATTAAATTAAATAAAATATTAAATTAAATAAAAATAAATAATTAAATAAAAATAAATAATAAATACAAAATTAAATAGGCCTTAAAATAGGCCTATTTTTTTTTACCTATAGTATATAGAGAAAGAGTGAAAAAATGGCGAGTAACTTTAACATGAACGATATGACTGTTGAACAACTTATGGCGCTTAGTGAGATAATTGATGATAGCGATTATGAGGAAAATCTCGAGGATGAAGTGGAGAAAATATCTGAGGATAAGTTCTATCGAGTTGCACCTAAGGATAAGGGCAAAGATCCCTTTGAAGGAGAAAGACAATTCATAGATGAAGGTGACCGTTCTACAGACCCAAAAAGACCAAGGAGACGCCCATTAAACGAGAAGGGTGAGAGGGGAATAATGCCAACATGGAAATATTCCGAGAGACAGAAGGCAAAGGCTTTACTAGTCGAGGAGGCATACCAGAGCTTACTTAGCAGAAAAGTTGAAGGTCTACCACCAACAATGGGAGGTAGATGGAGAACGGATGATCCCCAGGTAAATGCGGAGATGAAGAGGTTAGAGAACCTTAGGAATCCAAAGCGTCCTAGAGGCAGGCCACCAAAGGCTAAGACTGACGGCGCTGTTAGAGCTCCTAGAGGCAGGCCACAAAAGGTTAAGTCTGACGCTGAGGTTGTGATTCCAAAGAGACGTGGAAGACCACCAAAGGTTAAGTCTGACGCTGATGTTGTGATTCCAAAGAAACATGGAAGACCACCAAAGGTTAAGGTAGCTGAAACACCAAAACCTAAGGTCAAAAGACAGACTGTCGCGGAGAGGTTCATAAGTCAAAACCGAATAAAACTCTCAATTCCTGCGGATAGTGTGATAACTCAAGTGAGACCAGGTAAGTTCACGGTGACTGTGGATCTTAGTAAGAAACCAACAAGGAAAGCTCCTGAGGTACCGAAGGGTGTGGCTCCATGGAAACCTAGGGAAAGACCAGTTCCTAAACCAAGAACTGTAATTCCTAGGGAAAAACCTATTCCTAAACCAAGAACTGTAATTCCTAGGGAAAGACCTATTCCTAAGCCTAGGACTAAAAAGCCTGTGCCTCCTCCAAAGTTAAGAAAGCCTGTGAAGGTAACTAAGGAAGTTGGGGAACAGCTAGTAGTGGTCGCACCAGAGGAACATGAAATTGATCTTTTTGGAACATACCTTGAGAAGCCATCCTATAGGAAAATAGAAACTGCCGCAAATGGAGCAGCTGTGACTTACTCGATAACTCCAAATTATATGGATCCCCTGAACCAGATGACCGCAAGTAGGCAGGTGGTGAGGGGAGTATTAGTGAACGAGTTGAAGAGAATGGGAGGGCTGAAATATACGGAAACCATCAAGGTAAGAATGTCGAAGGAAATTGGAAATGACAAAACAAAGAAGGATTCAATATACTTCAAATCAAAAACAGGAACTGCAACCAACTTCGAGGATATTGAAAGCACTGCAGCCCAAAACCAACTGACAATCTTATCCAGAATTGAAACCTTCCAAAACTTAGGTTCAAATTGGATTATTCTAAACATTGAAAGCCACTATGTTAATATTGCGATGTGCAAACCTCTAAAGGGTAGTTCATACATGAAATTACCCGCAGACATTAGTAATCCAAAATGTGGTTTAATCAACATGAAAAACAACGACGAGAAATGTTTTATGTGGAGTCATCTGAGACATGTAAGACCAAAAGCTAGGAGAGCAACAACTATAACAAAGCAAGATAGGGAGTTCGCGGAAAACCTGGACTATGAAGGTATCGACTTCCCCGTAAAGATAAGCGATATCGACAAAATCGAGAGGAAGAACTCAATAAGCATATCAGTGTTCGGTTACAAGGGTAAAAAGCAGTTCTACCCAATCAGGAACTCTAAGACTAAATATGACGAACATATGGAGTTGCTGCTGCTAGGTAATAATGGTGGTAACCACTACGTTCTAATAAAGGATGTAAATAGAATGCTCTTCAGTGTTAGCGGAAACTCAAACAAGAAACACTTCTGCTTATATTGCCTCCATAGTTGCGTTAGCGAAGAATCATTGAAGAAACACAGTGAAACATGTATCAGTGTAAACGGAACTCAGGCCACGAAGCTTCCAAATGAAGGTTCAAAAATAAAGTTCGGACACTACAGGAATTCAATGCCTGCTCCATTTGTAATCTATGCTGACTTCGAGTCTATGCTGGTTCCTGAGGAGAGAAAAGTTGAATCTGAAGACGCTGAGGAGAAGAGTACCACAGAACTTTACCAGACACACAAAGCTTGTAGTTTCGGGTTGAAAACAGTGTGTCATTATGATGATCAGTATTCTGGTGAATATGTGAGCTATGTTGGTGCAGACGCTACAGAGGTCTTCTTAAAGACAGTTCTAAAGGAATCCATCAAGTGCCGGGAAATGGTGAACAAAATCTTTAAGAAGAAGATGGTAATTACACCAGAACAAGAATCTGAGTTCTGGATGACAAGAAACTGCTCCATCTGTGGTAATGACTTGGGGATGATAGAGTGAGAGACCACGATCATGTAACTGGACTGTTCCGTGGAGCTGCTCATAATATGTGTAATTTGAAATATAGAATTACATGGAAAGTTTCGGTGGTCTTCCACAATCTAAGAGGTTATGATAGTCATCTGATAATGCAGGAGATTGGGAAGTTCAAGATGAACATTAACGTGATTCCAAACAACATGGAAAAATACATTTCCTTCTCACTTGGCAAAAGTCTTGTGTTCATTGATTCGATACAATTTATGGCTTCTTCCCTGGAGGCACTTGTGAGTAACCTTTCACCTGAAGACTTCAAGATAGTCGGTCAGCGGTGGCAAGGTGAAGACTTCGATCTTGTAAGACAGAAAGGTATATTTCCATATGAATACCTAGATACTATCAGCAAACTCGACACAAAGGAACTTCCAAGTAGAGACAAATTCTACTCATCCTTATATGAGTCTGAAGTGAAAGAAGAAGATTGCCAGAGAGCTCTAAAAGTTTGGGATCACTTTAAAATGAAAACAATGAGAGACTACCATGATCTCTACCTGGAGACTGACGTTCTTCTCCTGGCTGATGTTTTCGAGAATTTTAGGAAGACCTGCTTGGAGAATTACAAGCTTGGCCCTGCTCACTACATCTCAGCACCAAGTCTAAGTTGGGATGCTTTCTTAAAACAGTCAGGTGAGGAAATAGAACTGGTAAGCGATCTGGATATGTTCCAGTTCTTCGAGAAGGGAATGAGAGGTGGGGTAAGTCATATTGCTCACAGACACTCTACGGCGAATAATAAGTATATGGAAACTTATAACGAAGAGGCTGAAAACAAGTTCCTTATGTATCTCGACGCCAACAATTTGTATGGCTGGGCGATGTCTCAACCGCTGCCTAACGGTGAATTTGAGTGGGTTGAGAACGTTGACAAAATAAATATTAATGACTATTTAGGAGACAGTGGAAGAGGTATGGTTCTTGAGGTTGATATGGAATATCCAGCAGAACTTCATGATATACACAATGGTTATCCACTAGCTCCAGAAAGTAAGGAGATTGATGTGTCAATGTTATCAGACTATGCAAAGGATATTGCTGATAAGTTCCAGCTGACAATTGGAGGTGTGCGGAAACTGGTGAACTCCCTGGGTCCCAGGAAGAATTACGTTCTGCATGTTAGGAATCTAAAACTGTATACTGAACTCGGAATGAAACTCACGAAGGTTCATAGAGCAGTCTCCTTCAAGCAGTCAACTTGGTTGAAAAACTATATTGACTTCAATACTCAAAAACGATCGGTCGCAAAGAATGCGTTTGAGAAAAACTTCTTCAAGCTCATGAATAATTCCATATATGGAAAGACTATGGAGAACTTAAGGAAAAGGGTTGATGTGAAACTGGTGTCATCCGAGAACGATCTCCTAAAACTTACAGCATCACCGTGCTTCCAGTCACATAGAATTATGAATGAGAGCTTGATTGTGGTGAAGAGGATGAAGGAAGTGTTAACTCTGAATAAACCGTGTTATGTGGGAATGAGTATCCTAGACTTATCCAAGACTCTAATGTACGACTTCCATTACAACACTATAAAGAAGGAGTACGGTAACAAGTCGAAGCTCCTCTTCACAGACACTGATAGTCTCATGTACGAGATCAAGACTGATGACGTGTATGAGGACTTCAAGAGGATCGGCGAGGAGAAGGATTGTTGGGACAATTCAGATTATCCGAAAGATTCTCCATATTACTCAGCCCATAACAAGAAGGTTATTGGGAAGTTCAAGGATGAAGCAGAAGGAGTACCAGTGATAGAATTCGTGGGGCTAAGGTCGAAGATGTACTCTTATGTAAAGGAGAGTGGTGGAGGTGGAATGACAGCTAAAGGTGTAAAGAAGTACGTGATCCGAAACAAACTCACTCACGAAAACTTCAAGAACGTGATTAAGACTAAAGGTCGAATGAGACATAAGATGAACACAATCCGAAGCATTAAGCATAAGATTGGAACTTACCAGCTAAAGAAAATTACACTCAGCTGTTTCGATGACAAAAGGTACTTACTTGAAGATGGTGTTACAAGTTACGCATACGGACATCATTCAATTGGTGACATGAAGGCTGAGGTAGTGATTGAAGAAAAAGTGGAACCGAGCTGGATACCAGAAAGGGTTGAAACTCAGAGTGAATACTGTAGACTCGAGCAAGCAGTAGAACTCTATGAAGGCGCTTGCTGGGAAACCCTAGGACCACGGGAAGAGAAACGTATTCCTAGACCAGAATACAAAGTGGTGATTCCACTTAAGAGGTCTAAGTTTAAGAAACCAGTACCATTGAGAATAGTTGTAACTGATGAGAATCATCTGAGGAAAAACTATGACGTGTTACCAAAAGATAAATAAAAGGAAATACTTGAGAATGGTGGTGGGCGAGAAAGCGAAGTCGTTGGGTGTTCAGGCAATCAGAATCCCTGGAAGCGATGAGTTGATTGCAATTGGATTTTGAGTAAATTGTTAAATAATGTAAAAATGGTCTAGAAAAATAGATGAAATAATAGGTGGGAAAATGGTCTAGAAAAATATGAGCCCGCGTTTTTTGAGGGAAAAATATGGAAACCGCTGACCGGAAGTTGGGTGAGATCGCGGGCCGAAAAAGTGGTCTAGAACCGTCATTCCCTATACTACTTGAATTGGTGTTTCAATCCTGGGAAGGTAGGCCATTGTCGTTGGTTATAATTATCTCAGTAGTATAACGATTTTATTTCGAAGACATATTTATTTTAATATATAGCATGGATAGGGCGCGGCTTAAAACTTTCATTTTATAGTAGACAATGGCGCTTTATATTATCAAATCTGTTTGCTGTTTTAATCTTTAAACAGCAAACAGATACCTATGGATAGGGCAATTCATATTGCCTTTGTAGTGGAATAAGCAAAACAGGTTCATACACCAAATCAAATGCAAATTGTCAAAATTCCTAAATTGCGCAATAACATCATAACAATAGTTATTTTCCCACCATTAAGAAGGTGGGCCAGATGAAGCTGGCCAATATGGGTGTACAGTAATTTATAACGTATAATAGACGTGCTCCCCTCATTCTGCCATGAATGATGCCCTTCAGTATGAAGCTAAAGTTTAGTTTCTTTAACCCGTTGAGCACCAACATTCTCACCTGGACGAGTAAAATTGTCTGCTGTTAGACAGAGTAAAATAATAAAGTAGGATGTATTGGGATGCAACACAACTTAATGGTTAACCAGATACATAGGCAGATCTATTAATTTAACCTTTTGAGCACGAGCACCAGTGCTCTCCCCTTGACAAGTAAAATTGTCTGCTGTTATGCAGAGTAAAATATGAAAGTAGGATGCATGCATTAGGGCACAACTTAATAGGTTAATTTAACTGGACGTTTATAGTGTCACAATATTATATTCTCACAATTTGTTTACAGTTTCTGTAGCTACAGGTGTCTTTGCTGTATTAATATGTCACAGTAACTGTACAGTTGCCTGTAGCAGACAAAAAAGTGTGACAATGTCCACCCCAGGGCACTCTGACTTGTAGGCCATATTTCTGTGACCGGTTTTTGTTTAGTTTTGCTGCCGTCGGTCAGGCACTAATTTTAATTTGCAAAAATTTATAGACTTTTACACGCTGAGTAAGAATTCACTTGTTGTCATGCATTTAATATTTCTGTATATTATTCTCACTTTCTCAGAAGAATGATACAAACTGCATAATACGTACCCCGTGCAACCCTCCTGCTAAGAGACTTGAACTAGTATAATAACTGTATATAACAAGAAGTTTCCTGAACAAAATGGCGGAAATTTTAATAACAAAATGTTGATGTTTAATCGTAAAATAGAAAAAAAACTGTGGGTTTGTGTGAGTGACAACAAGTGAATTTGTACTCAGCGTAAACGGCAAAATTCAAGAATCTTTTAATTACTACTGTATGTAGGTTCTTATTTGATGAGTAAAATTGTCTGGTATTGGACAGCGTAAAGTTAGACAGATTTGTGACTAAATGGGTTAACCCATTGAGTCACATTAATTGCAACCTGATGTGGTACTTTATTATTTTACTCTGTCTAACACCAGGTGATTTTACTTGTCAAAGGGAGAGTGCTGGCGCTAATTGGGTAACTACATACATAGACAGATAGTCTAATTAACCCATTCAGGCTCCAGGTGTAATACCATAATGATAAAGTAAAATAAATAAGGATTCTCTTATGATTGCTGGTGTTCTATGTAAAGCACAACTCACAAATGGTGTGATGTTTCCGGAATGAAAATTGCTGTAAGTTGTAAATTCTCCGTCAGTAAACAATAACAAATGTCCAGCCCTGGGTGCTATAATTAACCTGCAATACACCTGACTTTATTATTTTACTTTGTCTGATGCCAGATGGGTTTACTTAATTGTCAAAGGAAGAGTCACTTGGGTTAATACAGTACCATATGGCTATGGGCAAATGTCTGAGAGTAATGCCGGGGGGGGGGCATAGGCAATACTACAGTAGAATTGATTGATGCATAATACAAATTAAGTTGCTTTCTTTCCTTCCCTTGATGATTGGACATTTAAACCTACTGTACCTGTATAATTCATAACAGTAATCTAGTGTTTTGTGAAAGTGAAATTGTCTGGCATTAGGCATGGCTAGAAGCCAACACAGTGCATGCCCTTCTTCTATAAGTGTAAAATTGTGTGGCATTATATAAGCAGAAAAAGAGCCATGTAGTGCACATTGGTGTTTTGTGCCTTAATGATCAACCTTCCATATGCAACAGGATCTGTGTTAAAACTTAAAATTATGATATTGCACAAACGTTTTGAAAAATAGTGCAACACCATGGTAAGATTTTACCTTTTTCTTTTTTTGTTTTCCCGTAAACTTCATCTCTCATTTGGGTGAGTAATGAATTAGCATTAATTGTAACGGAGAAATCTAATACAGCAATGCAGCATCTGCACTAGTGTTGTATAGTAGATAATGTTTGGGTAAGGGACCCGTCATAAAGTAATTACTAGAGGGGGGTGGAGGATAAATGAAATTTTAAGTACATATTTCCATACCCTCCCAAAAACCTGTGGAAAACTTTTCGTAACCCCCTTCAAAGTAAGTGAAAATTTTCATCCCCCCCCCCCCATTCTATCATTAATTCTGTTTTAATATTTGTCGTGCGTTTATCTATATTTTGAAACTATCCAGTTTGCGATAACTCTCCCACTTCTTGTAGTGGTAACCATATCCTCAACATTTTCCGCAGTCTCCGATTCGTCACCAGTCTTTTCAGATTTTGACATACTAGCGATGGGCTGAGAGTTAAAGATCAAACAGAAAAATTTGTTTTTGGTTTGTTTCAAAAAAATTGCTTCCATTCAATGTGACACGTCCTCGTCAGGTTCATCAGTTTTAATGCCGATGTGAGCTTGCTAGCATTAACAATTTAGGTGTATCAGATTTATACTCCAAAGTTCAACGGATACTGAATCCTACTTATCATCTGACATTGAGTCAGACTAAAACATATACCTTGTGTTGATTTAGTAATTATAGTTATAGTAAAGCAATTCTTTCAAAAAACATTCAATATTCAATAATAGTTATAAAATGTAATTTTTCTCCTTACCAATAGTACTAAGATTTTGGTACCCCCTAGAGGTTCTGTTGTTTTTTTTATAACCCCCCTCAGAGGTTCTCTTTTTTTCCCGTACCCCCCAAAAATATCCTCCACACCCCCCTAGTAAATACTTTATGACCGGTCCCTAATTCACTGGTGCAGCTGAATCACAGTAGCTAGTGGCATTAGCTACTGTATATAGACGAGGTTATAAAGAGGAAATTAGGTATCTTGTTAATATACTCGTTAATATACTTATACAATGAATATACTTGTTTCACTCGCATAATAAATCACTCGCTTCACTCGTGAGTATATCGAGTGTCTATGCGATTATGAAACTGGTTTATCCTAATGAATTATAAACGAATGCAGTCAACATAAACAAAACAACATTTTTTATAGAAATAAGTCCATACCTCAATAATATATTTTGTTTCGAAACAGAAGCCGTGAAGTACTGTATCAAGTATATTCACTTGCTTGAAGGTGCTTCACGAACATTCGGTTAGTCGATGGATGAAGTTAAAATTGAAAACTGTAAAAACACAAACACAAACAGAGCTTGAAATATTTAGTTCAGCCACAATCAAATTGCTGAAGCACTGTCACTTTATAAACTTAAGTTTAATCTAGTATATAGATATACAGTGGAATACTCACCGCGTAGTTAATGATAAATGCAGTACATGCATGTTTATTAATTCCAAATAACCTTCGCATCTGTTAATTTGCCAGTTACGGCGGCACTCTCGTATTCAATCATAGATCCGTAGCCTGTCGACTTTTCATCAGTCTCGAGAGTTCAATACTATCTTAGGTTTGACGGCCGTTTAATTTTAGATTTCACAGCAGAATAAATCACTTTGTTTTTGTTGTCGTGACTGCCAGTGGCTAAGTCGAGTGTCAAGTACATACATAGCGGGCCGTATTTTCAAATGTCAATGACTATATAAAACGTACCAGTCGATTAAGCAACGATTGTGATGTCGTCTGATCACAACATCAATAAACCATAGATAAATATACTTTTAAATCATAGCTTATTGTTTTATGGAGGCGGATGTAATTAGAATGACTGTGAAAAACTTTGCGTTTGCTTCCTTCGCTCAGTTTACATTATTTAGTAACAAATTTGACTTTAATTAAAATCTATTGTTCCTATGCCCACATGGTATACTGATAAAATGTTGCATAAAAAAGAGGAAAAATCAAATGCTATAAATAAAAAAATGACAAGTCATTTCAATATAAACTTGACTCTTGGTATAATAACCCATGCATGGTAGCCCAATGGCAAAACACAAATATCGTAACTGTGGTTTATTGCTGTTGATCAGACGACATTCGTTGATCCAAAAGAAGGATTTGAACCAAAATCGACTTGTGTTTTATGTAGTTATTGACATCAGTTTGAAAAAATGGCCCGCTACTCGACACTCGACTTACCCACTGGTTGTCACGGCAACAAAAACAAAGTGATCTATTCTGCTGTGAAATATAAAGTTAAACGGGCGTCACAGCTAAGATAGTAGTGAACTCGTGAGATTGATAAAACAAATTAACAGATGCAAAGGTTATTTGGGATTAATAAACATGCGTGTATTTATCATTTATTAATTATCGGATTTTACTTCAACTCTTATAGACAAGATGTTGTTGATTCATCCCATCATTGTGTTTTAATCTTTAATTTATTGGATTACATTCGAACTGACGTTTCACTCCCAACAAGGTACAGGTGTAGGCCAATGTTATTGGTAAATTATCTTGGGTTGACAGTTTTTTGTTTTTTTTTGTGATAGCTATAATAATATTCTATTCAGCAACACTCCAGGGTTGCTCTCAGTCTTGCTTAAAGATTGAAGATTAGTTTGTCTTTATATAGTCCAGTTCTTTTGAGTCTAGTGAAACCAGGAAACAGCCACAAATTTTCAGAAATGGGGAGGGAGGGCCGTTTCACCGTTATTTTTGCTGGTGGTCAATGACTGAGAAAAACCCAAAATATACTGTAATGTGCTCCGTTTTATAGGAAATCACGTACAGTAACAATCCTGGATAAACTGTACGTCAGGGAGTCCATGCACGTCCTATCTAAAATTTTGTGTTTTAGACTTCGCGCTTCGCCACTTGAGTGTCTTATCGCCTGCAATTTGTATTGTTCAATTGCCAGAATGATCTCTCTTCAATTAACTTGCAACTCAATTTCTGACATAGAACCATGTTATCTAAAACGTAGTCACAGGCTTTTGCGAAAATGGCGCACGATTTACAATTCTGACCCTATTTCCCCTATTTTTTATCGCTGAATAGCATGTTGTACAAACAACGTGTTGACAGAGTACAATGTGGTGCAAGCCATGCTCACCATGACATGCAATGGCCTACAGTGTATACCCGAAATTGCATTGCAAGTTGCAACAAAAATTGCCAGGCATTTTTTTGTAATTAATGTTAATTTTTCACATGCATTTCTATACAATTTTATGGGGTGGCCATGCATTGTGGTTTTATGGAAAATATTTACAGGTACAGTATCTTACAAATAGAGACAATATTGAGAAGCAAAGCGATTTTCAATCGCAATCTTTGCTGTCAAGTTTCCTGGCAAATTAAATTGGTGTCGCTTTGGTTTCTTTAGCGTAAACAGAATGTATATTTGCACAGTATATGTGTATGCCAAACATTGTCTACAGTATTATATGCCAAACAACTACATTCTGATTGGTTCTGTAGACATCGGCGTTACGCAGCCCCTTCATTATATAACTCGTAATGAATTGCCATGCCAGCTATAGCACAGTTACATTCAGGGTTTTTTTGTATGTTTTTCTCGATATTCAATAGTGGCAAGAGGAGAAAATATTGACATTATCTTACTGTGTACTTAAAAAGGCAAAATTGTTGTTTCTGCAATAATTTTTGTCACAGATTATATTCTTTTTGTATACAGTAACTGATGAATCATGATGAAAGATTGTATTCCAACAATACATCTGCATGTGTTGTAAGGTGCATATACTATGTGCAAAATTTGAACATAGGCAGGAGAAAATATCGAAACGTCCTTGAAGGAATATGAAAATCAAATTTCCAACATGATTTATTATAAAAGTTGATTGAAGCGAGATTTGAGCTCGCATGTTCGGGAGTGTATGTTTCTCTCAAAATGGTTTTATGATATAATCTAAAACTGCACATCCTCACCTGAATATATAATTTAAATGTTTTGTGCACTTAAAAAGGATAAAATTCGCTTTAATTCTCTGCTGGTTCGATACAATGGTAGCTCAATAAATAGAGGGGGGAACAGATCGAAATTCCGTACGTGCCAGTTGAAAACATCCTTGAGGCAACTTTTACAGTTGAATTTGCTAGTATAAGAAATCGTGTTAATGTTTTCTCCTCATGCTTCTCTGAAGCTGGTCCTGCAATTTTACTGCAAATAGATTTCCCTGCTTTGAAAACAAAAGTGACTGCGGAGTGCGGACTTGTGTAATTTTTTGTCATTTGTTACTTTTTGTTGTTACAGTAATGTCATTGTCATGGCTTCCATGAATCTAGACGAAAAGGCAAATTTTACAAGGCTTAGTAGACTTTTAGTGGACAAAGGAACTGAAGCTTTGAGAAATACTTTGGATTCTCTACATCCTTCTGCTAATTTACCTGCAGTTCTTAATGCGAACAGAACGGCGCTTCTAAAATTGAAGCCTCGAGTTATCAATGATACACAGTGGGATTTACTGTTCCCGCCGTCTGGCAACCCACCAAACTCGAAAACCTTTGATGTCACGTTACTTACCGTTTTCTTGCGGAACATCTGTGGTTTACCGCCTCCTGCAACAGGCTGGAATACGATGCCTCCGGAAACAGATAGATCTCCACAAGCAAATGTTACAAGAATCAAGTTACTCAGGAATCAAATTTATGCCCACGTATCCTCAACCGAAGTTGACAAAGCAGCATTTGAGAATTTGTGGCAAAAAGTCACTGAGGCATTAGTACTTGAAAATTCTACAAAAGGAAATTGATGATTTGAAGACTTGTCCTTTGGGTCCGGAAGAAGAAAATTATGTGCAGAATTTAAAGGAGTGGGTTTTAAAAGAAGACGATTGTAAGAATATACTGGATGATTTGAAGACAAATGTTAGATTAATCCAACAACAACTCATCCAGTCAGACTCACAGCGCCAAAATGACATGCAGCAGTTGACTACAAATGTAACCGAGGAAATCCGCCAGGGGATACAGCAACTTTGCCCTTCAAATTCGATGGAAAGTAAAGTCGAAAGTCAAATATTTGATTCTAAGGAGAGTAAAGTCGGTCAAGAACACACCAGCAACGTGGAAGAACAGCTACTACAAAAACTTGCAAAGCATAATTTCAAGAGCAAAATACGAAGTAAAGTTAGGTTATTTTACCCGGGCACAAGAGAATGGTTATTAAGGAAGCTTGATAATTGGTTTATAACAGACGAAAAATCGAGATTATTGCTCGTAACTGCCGGACCCGGGTTTGGCAAGAGCGTGTTTGCAGCAAAAGTTTGCGAACTCTTCAATGGGAAAGGGAAATTTGCAGCTTGCCATTTTTGTGATTTTAGCGATTCAAATCTAAAAGATCCCATGATAATGCTGCAATCTCTCGCAAGTCACATGAGTGAAAATGTCCCTGGCTTTAAGGAAAAGCTTCTTGATCAGTTAAACCGACCCCATAAAGTCCGAAGCCTAAAGGACGCCTTTCAAATATATTTGCAAAATCCCCTTGATGAATTGGATGTGGAACCCAGGTTGATTGTGATCGATGGCTTGGATGAGAGCGCAACCGATGATAAAAGCGACATGGTGAAATTGATTGCAGATTATTTTCCAGATCTCCCAAAGTGTGTGAAAGTCCTGGTGACTAGTAGGCCGGAACTTTCTCTACAAATACTCGACCATATTCAAATAATTGAAATTGATCAACAGCATTTGAACAATGAATGCGATCTTCTAAAATATCTTGAAGATTGCTTTCAAAGCCTTGCTCCCAAGGATTTAGTTAATTCCCAAATGCAAGCTCATTCAATATGTTGGGCAATTGTAGAAAAGTGCGAGGGCTCGTTTCTGTACGCGTTTCACTTTCAGCATGAGTTGCGTAAGCGGACGGATCTCGATACGATAACAGTTGAAGAAATGGTGGATTTTCTTCCTGAAGGAATGGGTTCTATATACAACGCATACTTTCGTCGCCTTGAGATCGAGCTTGAAGCCACAATAAATAAAAAGCCAGATCTATTTAAGGTCTTGGAACTGTTTGTAGCTGCCAACAAACCCCTTCCCCTTAAGTTTTTAGCTCGCGCTCTTGACTTAAACCCCGATTGTCGTGAAATGAAAAGAATTATTAACAAAGTCAACGAAGTCCTGTCGTGCTTGTTGTATGTTTCGAATGACGTGGTGACCGTTTTTCACAAATCCATATATGATTGGCTACTGGCAAACGGCTACGAAGATCACGAGTATAGTGTCAAAATCCATGATGGTAAAAAACGGCTATGGCAAATTTGCGAACAGATTTTTGAAGAAATAAAAAGAAATGTTATCTCAGGGTTCGTGAGGTCAACGAACGAAGTGATACATGCTCTGGAATACGGACATGAATATCTATTGGCGTGCAGTATAAAGAATAATTTTTACTGGCTGGTGGATATGATAATTGTTCATGTCCTTTGCACTGTCCATCCCAAAAGTATTTCCCATTTACAAATCAAGTGGAAAAAGGTTCTTCAAAGTGATGTAACAATAAGCCTTCAGTTACGACAGCGAATTTCATGGCACTTTATTGAAGTTTCCAATATGAAGATAAAGGACCAGATTGACCCAAGTTGTTCTTATTTAAAAAGTGTCCTTAATCATTCCCCAGAAGGCTGTTTTACTGATGACGAGAGGAAAATTGCAGAAGAGATTTTAGCAAAATTTCACCGGTGCGTGAAGCATGATTTGGTTCAGATGAAATCTTTGAAGCCTCTCCTGGTCGCGTTTTTTCCATCTTCCATTATAGCTGTTGGTGTGTCTTCCATTAAGCAGTTAGCTGCTGTTGCATTGAAGGATGGAACAATCTGTGTTTTAAGCTTACCAGAATTGGTTAAATTATTCCAGTATTCAACCGGATACGAGCGCATTTCTTGTTGCACGTTTTCTCCAGACGACACTTTCGTTTTATATGGGAAGCTAGGAACAGCACTTAGCATAGTGGAGGAAAAGGAAATACCATTTTTTAAAGGAAAAGTAGAAAGGTTCAAATCTTGTTCGTTTTCTCCCAAAGGTAGGAAATTGGTAACCAACGATGGTTCAAACACCGTAAAGTTATGGGACGTTGCAAGACAAAGTTTGCTTTCAATTCTTTGTGCAGGCGTTCCACTAAAGTGCTGTTCTTTCAGCAAAACAGGGCTCTTCATTATTGCGTATACGAAAGATGTAGAAGATGTAGAAGATTCGTACTGTGTTTGGAACGCCATTACATTCCAGAGAGTAGATCTAAGAAGCCTATCCAGTTACAGGTTGAAAAAAAAAGATGGGTTCCAAAGTAGTGAAACATGCAAGCGTTGTTTTAGTCAAGCACGTGAAGAATTAATTCCTTCGAAAGGGTTGGGAAGCTCAACTGGAAAGTACAATGACGTTGACTGTATTCTTTGTATGGACGGGCAGACTTTACATGTCATGGAAAGTATCCATTTAACAACTCTCGCAATATGGGGGATTTTTATCGAACATTTTAAATGTTGTTTGTTCTTTGTTGGTATTACAGCGATTAAAGATGACCTTTGGTTGTATGGAGATGAGTATAATTTGATTATTTATATCACAGTACCTCCGAAGGAAAATCAGTCATGTCTGTCACGTCCGACACTTGTTCTTTGGTGCTCTTTTTCTCCTGATGGCACCCGCCTTGCCAGCTGCACATCAGATGGGTTCATCGACTTATGGTATGTTGATACCTCCCAAGTTTATCAACATTTTAGAAGCAATATTGGAACATCATCAGCTGCTTGTTGGTGGTCGGAGAAATACCTGTTTGTTTGTCATATTAGAGACGGGATTCCTAGCTTGTCATTATATCCAGTTGATGAACACTTTAATATCTTGATCACTGAGATGCTGCTAATACCACTATGTTCCCTTGTCAATGATTTTTTACCGTTTTCGGGAATCCTGGATTTTTCCGAAGGTTACATCAGCTTTGGGTGCGGCGAAACGAAGCCTGTAAAAGTTATCGACGTCAACAAAATGGATTACCCCAAAATTGTCTTCTTGCCGGGAATGGAGCCTATGATGAGTATCGCAGTTTCTACCGGTGCTTCCCTTATTTTGGGAAACGACGGTAGCAATTTAACAATTTGGAAACGAAATGAAGCTGTTCCAGCTCTATATGATATCCCGACCGTCTACAGGTTTGAAAATCCATTTTTTTCATTCAGTGGATGTTGTTTCAGTGAGGATTCAAAATTTGTTGTTTCCTTTGTGCCCAATCTATTAACTATGTCTTTTTTTGACGTGGATACTGATGTTTGCGTAACCAAGATGATTGGAGACGGTTGTGACATTGATGTTCGCGAAACCGAGGTGATTGGGGAAGGTTTTTTCTCGATGTTTGCTGACGCGACTGCAGAAGTATTTTCTACTAACAAAGTCACGGTTCTCGTAACTTCGAACTTAATAAAAATTTTTGATATGAAGAGTCGATCATCCTTTCATTGGCATCTAACCGATAATTCAGTAATTCACTCAAAACTGTCTCCAAAAGGAAATATCCTAGCGGTACCTAGGCTAACTGGTGATGTGGACTTCTTTAAAATATGCCATCCCGAACATTCTTGAGTTTTGAATGACCTGAAAAACAAGAAAAGGCTATTTTATGTAAAATGGTTATTTCACGATAATAAGATCAAATAATGCTGTAAAAGAATGATTCAGTGTGGACGGAACTGAGCTTTTCTAAACAACGCGTTACTCATAATAACAGATCCTGATTTTGTTGTTTTGATTCGTTAGCGTTTGTCGACAAGTATAGCGCTAATAGAAGCTGGATTATGGTTATCTTTCGGGAAGCGGTTAGACTTTGCTTGGAGCCAGTCTAAAATGGAAAGGTAAGACGCCTCCTTCCCTCCGCTAGTCTGGGAGTTCACCTTGGGCAAGTGATAGTACTCCCTAGCCTCCCATACCAGGGTTAATGGTTTTTAATTGTGTCTACAAGACGTCGATAGCGAAAAAACCTGCTCACGGAATAAAGGACAGCAAAAGATTTTATTCGCGGAACTGATAGTAAGAAAATTCTTAACGAAGAATGCTAGGGGTTACTAAATATTAATATAGGATTAGTTTGAAGGGTATAGACTTTTGCCATAAAGCTTGGTTAGTGTTTTGCATCGTATATTTACCTGGTAGGGTGTAATATTCCGCCTAACGCCAGCGCTCTCCCGTTGACGAGTAAAATCGTCTGGCGTTAGACGGAGTAAAATTAAATAATCTGGCGTTAGACAGTGTAAACTATTAAAGTAGGGCGCATAAGGGCGCAATGCTGCTCGATGGGTTAACTAGACACATGGGAAGATAGTCTGATCATGCAACCATTAAATAAGCGCCAGAGGTCTGCCCTTGGCGAATAAAATGTTCTGGCGATAGACAGAGTAAAATAATAATAAAGTACGGGGCATTATGGCGCAATGCATTGGGTTAACTTTTTATAAAATATTTGTCGAAAGGACATGCATGGTTAACATTACTGAAGTTTCTTTGATCTAAGTACAGTAAGCTGTAACCAAAGTTGTCTGTACAATTTTAATTCAAAAGCCTCCAAAGCATTCAAAAATGTTATAATGTAAACCAGCCATTAGCTTTTTTTCAGCAGTTTACGAGAACCTTTTAAAAACATTGTAATAAATTAATTTTAAATGTAAATCCTACTTGTAAATATAATAACTCAATAAGAAAATTTCAAAAAACGACACGAATTTACATCTTTGCGTTTCACAAGCTACAATGCTGACAGAAAATAATTTGTGGACTGCGCGTGCGTAAATAAAAATACATCATTTGCCCGCTCATAGCTTGCAAAACAGAAATTTCCAACACCTTTCCCCTCATACAATGTTAGAAAACCTTATAAATTGATGACCAAAGATTTGTGAAACCGTGAAAAACCAACATCGTACGGATGAGCGGAAGGAACGAACATACTGTACACGTATGGACAGACATTAAGTACCAGGCAGCCATGCAGTTTGACGTAGAATAATAGCAGCTATAATTATACTCAAACTCAATAGTTTAAAACGATGGGATAGTGTACATATATAGGATATAGATGACACAAAATTTTTGCATTGTAATACAATGAAGTATGGGAGGGAGGGTGGGGGGTTGGTAGGTGTTTTGGGGACACCCTGAAGTACGTGGTTTATGTACATAATTAGTGTTTTGCGCCGAGCATTTACCAGAAGGGTGCGTTTTCTTGATTTGTTTTATAATGGGTGCGTTTTCTTTCTTGATTTTTGTTGCATGCCCAATGTGGGTATGCAACTTTCTTATAGCTGTAAAATTGGCATGTACTAATAGGCGAAACGTCGAAACGAAACGACCGAAACGAAACGGCCGAAACCACCGAAACGAAACGACCGAAACGAAACAACCGAAACGAAACCACCGAAACGAAACAACCGGAACGAAACGACCGAAACGAAACCACCGAAACGAAACAACCGGAACGAAACGACCGAAACGAAACGGCCGAAAATGTAAATTACAGGAAAATTGAAAAATGCGGATACGGACGGACGGATGGGGGGGACAGGCGGATGGACGGGGGAAGAGGCGGATGGACGGGGGGGAGGGGCGGATGGACGGGGGGACAGGCGGATGGACGGAGGGGGGGAGACGGCTTCATTTGACACGAAACTCAATTTTAAAATCAAATCCGCGTTTTGTTGAAAGGGATATATTAGGATATATTATAAAAGCTATTATTAATCGTAATAAATTGTCCGCGAAAAGTTGATAAAATACATGTG